CTGCTGCTTAGCAGGGAAAACATTTCCACTTGGAAGCTGGAGGTCCTGGGATGGGAACGGAAGCTCTCCTCATCTCATCAGGATCCGTCCCAGGTATGGGTGATTTCTCTCTCTCTCTCTCTCTCTCTCTCTCTTTAGGAAAGAGCGCTTTGTCTCAGCAAGGGATCCTGCAGGTATTGGCAAGGGCTGCTGTTTGGTGTGCTACCTGGCTAAATATTTGACTTTGTGAGGTTGATTTCTCTAAGAATGCATTGAGCCAAGCTCTCTTTTTTCAAGGAAATCCAAGGTGCTATTTATTTTGGCATGCAGCCTGTTTTGAGATGAAATATGGCATTTTGTTATTGCAGAATAAAGAAGGGTTTGAAGAGAACAAAAATGCAGAACCAGGTTTTAGTTTCAGGATAAAGGAAGGAAAGTATACTTCTTTATACTTGAATGTGAGGTTAGATGAGGTTGAAAATAGCATTACAAAGGGAGTAAGCGTGGAGAGTGGGAGTGTGTAAGGAAATCCGTGCTCCTGGATGTGGTAATTCCATACAGACACTCCGCTGCCAACACATACGAATTCATTGCCTTGGGGGATTTGATGGGCACCTGGGGCCCCACCGTTGGAAAGAACTTGGGAAATGCAAGCATCCTGCCCCTTATTAACTAGGAAACTTTGGATTGACTGCATAATCTCTTTGTGCCTTAGTTTTCTCATTTGTGACTTGTCCAAGTTTCTTTTTTTTTTTTTGTTGGTCGTGGGGCTTGAACTCTGGGCCTGGGCGCTGTCCCTCAGCTCTTCAGCTCAAGGCGAGCACTCTACCACTTGAGCTACAGCGCCACTTTCGGTTTTCTGGTGGTTTATTGGAGATAGGAGTCTCACAGTCTCTCCTGACCAAGCTGGCTTTGAACCGTGATCCTCAGATCTCAGCCTCCTGAGTAGCTAGGATTACAGGCGTGAGCCACCAGCAACCAGCCCAAGTTTCCTTAAGTGAGAGAGAAGTGATATACTCAGTACGTGATTCCCAGAGTAAGTTAGGAGCACCATCTAAAGATGGACCATTTTCTTTTCTTCCTTTCTTCATTTAAGAATCATGAACTGAGTTAGGTGCTGGTGGCTCTGACCTGTAAACCTAGCTACTCTGGAGGCTGAGATCTGAAGGTCACAGTTCAAAGCCAACCTGGACAGGAAAGTCTGTGAGACTACAAAAAAAAAAAAAAAAAAAAAGCTGGAAGTGGTAGAACACTATCCTTGAGCAAAAAGCTCAGGGACAACACCCAAGCCATGAGTTCAAGCCCTAGGACAGGTAAAAACAACAATAACAAAACCCCCATGAACTGCATGTCTAACATGTTTAATTTTATTTTATTATTTGGAGTGTTGGTAGTGGGGCTTAAACTCAGGACTTCATGCTCTTACTTAGCTGTTTTTGGTTTGGGGGCTTAAACTCAGGGCCACAGTATCCTTTCTGGTTTCCTGGTGGCTAACTGGAAATAAGTCTCTTTATGGACTTTCCTGCCCGGCTGGCTTCAAACTGAGGGATCTCAGCCTCCTGAGCTTACAGAAATGAGTTACAGGATTACAGGCATGAGTCACTAGTGCCCAGTACACCCTTTTCTTTTCTTTTTTTTTCTTTTTTTAATAAAGATACTGTACAGAGGGGTTATAGTTACATGAGTAAGGTACTGAGTATATTTCCTATTGAGCATTGTTACCCCCTCCTTTGTTTTTCCCCTACTATCCCTTCCCTCCCCAACTCCCCAACTCCTCTCCCCCCACCTAAGTTGTAAATTTGGCTTTCAAGATAGTGTTCTTGTAAAGTCTCATTGCTACAATAGATCAACCCATATCAGTATTTTGTTATTTTCCTTCTCCTCCCCAAATTAGAAAAATATATATACAAGATGCAGGGCACCAGAATCAAATACAGTGAAAACAGGGGTTATCCCATATGGGGAAGAACGTAAGGGATGGAAGGGGGGGGGGAAGGAAGAAAATGTTATAATAAACTATTTTCCTATTTTCTTTTCCTTAAATTAAATTAGTAGTAAAATTAAAAAAAAGGAACAAAACAAACACATAGTACATTAAAAACAACAACAACAAAGAAAAAAACCTCTTGTGTCCCTATCTTGGGGTTCATTTCACTTAGCATCATCTTATATGGTCATATGTACATGGATTTTGACTTTTTCTGCTTGTCTGGTAAAATTATCCTAGACATATACTAGTTATTGCAAATAAGGGAAACCATGGGACATTTGTTTCTTTAGGTCTGGCTTATTTCACAGTTCACTCTTTTCTTTTCTTTTTCCTTTCTTTCTTTTTTTTTTTTGTCAGTCGTGGGGCTTGAACTCTGGGTCTGGGCACTGTCCCTCAGCTCTTCAGCTCAAGGCAATCGCCCTATCGCTTGAGCCACAGCACCACTTCTGGTTTTCTAGTGCTTTATTGGAGATCAGTTTCATGGACCTTCCTGCCGGGGCTGGCTTTGAACTGTGATCCTCAGATCTCAGCCTCCTGAGCAGCTAGGATTACAGGCGTGAGCCACCAGCGCCAGGCTTCAGTGCACCCTTTTCTAAGGCTTGCTTGAGGCTGTCAACCTTGCCCCGTCTACCAGAGTCACCCATCACAGCTGCAGATGTGGGAGCCCGGAGAGAGACTGCCAAACCCCCTGCTTCGGAGAGACCCCTGTTTACCACAGAGCCATCCTCCCACACCCCATGCTTCTCCCACGTCTGCTGACTTTGTGGCCATACTCAATACCAAGACCACCCACCAACACTTGCATCTTCATCACCCAGTGTCCTCTCTGCTTCAGCTCTGTGCCCCACAAACTTGAGTACTTGATGGTTAAGTACTCGTTGCTACCTAAGTGAGATCCTCGATGTTGGCATTCGTGTTGCAGATGTGCTTCTCTTTCTGGGGCTCCATTAGGTCTTCACAGGGATAGGCTCTATGGCCACTGTGTGGGGAAAGGATTTGGAGAGGCCAAGGCGGGGAGCAGGGCTCCAGCTCTGGAGGCAGACCCAGCTTAGACCCAACTTTCAGTTGAGGGAACCTTAGAATGTCTTTCTCTCACTTGGCTGGCTTAATAGTTTTCTTCTCTGGTTACTTGCTTTGCCCCCCTGCTCCCCACTCAAAATTGCAAGGGTCGTTCCTCACCTTCCTTCCCTGTTTTCTCAATCCATCCCTCATGCCTGGTCCACGTCTCTGGTTTGGAATTCAGTGTCCAGCATGTTGGGATTCCTGAGGTGACCCTGCTTCTGCTGCTGGGGTGGCCGCATAGGATTCATTATTCTGATGTGGGTGGGGTATTGAATGGCGGCAGGAGCTAGGTGGTTTGCCATTTGAAGGGAGTCCCAAGAATGGGTTAAAATTGGGGGAAATTTTTGGTCACACCTTAAGATCTACTAACTCGGAATGGAGGCAGCCACCTGTATGGATGGACACTGGCTACCGTCTGGCCACCTGCACTTCCTTTCAGTAATGGACTGGAAGAATGGCCTTGCAAGTGCAAGGCCCTGAGTTCAGACGCCAGTGCTACAAAATAACGATCTGAAGTCACCAGTAAATAACAGGGTCGTTAAGCTGAAGAGCTCATGGACAGCGCCGTAGAGTTCAAGCCCACAACTGACAAAAATAAATAAATAACAGGGCCTTGTCAGTCCTTCCAGTAGCTTGTGCCTGGTGTTTGATCGGGAAGCTACAGATCACCAATGGCTACTCTATTCTAGCTTTTACATATATGGGATTATAATTACCTACCAGGTTTTTTTGCGGGGGGAAGTGAATGATGTGAAAGAGCTGGTGCTGGTTGTCAGAAACCCTGGGTCTGATTCTAGCCCCATCACTAATGTAATGAGACCTTGGGCAGAGTACTTTACAGCCTCAGTTTCCTCATCTCCAAGTGAGGAAGTTGGATGAGATACCTTCCCCTTCCCTTTTCCCTTCCCCTGCCTTTGCTTTCCTTCCTCTCTGCTAGTATTGGGGTTTCAACTGGGAGCTTCCGTCGTTTAGCATTTTGGCTCAAGGCTAGTGCTCTGACCCTTGAGGCACAGCTCCACTTCTGGCCTTTTTTGGAGGGGGGTGGGGGTGGCGGTAGTGCTGATCCTGGAGCTTGAACTCAGGGCGGGCTCTGGGTTCTATCCCTGAACCTTTTGGCTCAAGGCTAGTGCCCTACAACTTGAGCCACAGCTCTACTTCCAGCTTTTTTTTTGGGGGGGGTGGGGGAGTCCGGTCGTGGGGCCTGAACTCTGGGCCTGGGTGTTGTCCTTCAGCTCTTCAGCTCAAGGCTAGCACTCTACTACTTGAGCCACAGAGCCACTTCTGGCTTTTTTCTTTTTTTGCTTATGTGGTGCTGAGGAATTGAACCCAGGGCCTCATGCATGCAAGGCAAGCGCTCTATCACTGAGCCATCTTCCCAGCCCCAGAGACTCTTATCTCCAATAAAACCACTAGAAAACCAAAAGTAGCACTGTGGCTCAAGTGGTAGAGCGCTTGCCTTGAGCTGAAGAGCTGAGGGATAGTGCCCAAGCCCAGAGTTCAAGCCCCACAACTGACCAAAAAAAAAAAAAAAGATAAGAGTCTTTAGGCTTTCCTGCTTGGGCTGGCTTGAAACCATAATCCTCAGAGGTCAGCCTCCTGCATAGCTAGGATTACACGCATGAGCCACTAGCACCCAGCTTTTTGGTGGTTAATTGGAGAAGAGTCCGTGGACTTTCCCTGTCTAGGCTGGCTTCTTGATCTCAGCTTCTTGAGTAACTAAGATTACAGGCATGAGCCACAGACACCCAGCTCCAAGTGCCTTCTTTTCATGTCAACATCTCATAAAGACATACCCAGAGGTGGGCTCTAAGGTCATGCTGTTCATCTCCTTCCTTGGAGAGCTCAGGAGCACCCCTGGGCAAGAAGCAGGGGTGGATGTCACTTTCTTCAGTGTTGTTTCCTCAAGGCTGACTTATTCTAGTTCTCATGAATCTCTCTGTTTCTCTCTTCTTTCTTTCAGAACTCTCCAAATATTTTTCCAGACTTTGTGGATGAAGACTGCCTGTAAAACTGAAGTTGTGTTCCTAAAGATGGAGAAGACAGATGGTAGGCAGGCTGCTTTCTTTTCTTTTCTTTTTTTTTCTTTTTGTCAGTTGTGGGGCTTGAACTCGGGGCCTGGGTGCTGTCCCTGAGCTCTTTAGCTCAAGGCTAGCACTCTACTAGACACTTGAGCCATAGCGCCACTTCCCATTTTTTGAATGGTTTATTGGAGGTAAGAGTCTCAGAGACTTTCCTACCCAGACTGGCTTTGAACCGTAATCCTCAGATCTCAGCCTCTTGAGTAGCTAGGATTACAGGTGTGAACCATCAGCGCCTGGCAGGCAGGCTGCTTTCTATGCCCTGGTTTGAAGGGGCACTTTGGAAAGGGAGGGTTACTGCAAGCCATTGAAATAGCCATGGAAAGGGCTGCGGGGAGGGGGGCTTTCTCCATGGAGGCAGTGCCAGGAAGCCCAAACCCTACATTATAAATTTTTTTGGGGGGGTGTTCGGTCGTGGGGCCTGAACTCTGGGCCTGGGCGCTGTCCCTCAGCTCTTCAAGCTCAAGGCTAGCGCTCTACCACTTGAGCCACAGCGCCACTTCCGGCTTTTTTCTTTTTGTTTATGTGGTGCTGAGGAATCGAACCCAGGGCCTCAGGCATGCAAGGCAAGCGCTCTACCACTGAGCCACCTTCCCAGCCCCTATAAAATATTTTTTTTTTTTTGGTCCGGTCGTGGGGCCTGAACTCTGGGCCTGAGCACTGTCGCTCTACCACTTGAGCCACAGCACCACTTCCGGCTTTTTTCTTTTTGCTTATGTGGTGCTGAGGAATCGAACCCAGGGCCTCAGGCATTCAAGGCAAGCGCTCTACCACTGAGCCACCTTCCCAGCCCCCTATAAAATATTTTTATATTTTATGAAATACAAAATCCTGGACTTGTGTAGTCTTCAGACTTTTTTTTCTCATTTCATCCAAGCACCAAGAAAGGAACAGGGTGCTCTTTCCTTGAACTGAGCCTGGGCACTGTCCCTGAGCTCTTCAGTTCAAGGCAAGTGCTCTACCACTTGAGCCACAGCCCCATTTCCCGTTTATTATTTCTTAAAAGGTTATGTAGATTGGCAGGGTCAGTATTCTAGCTTAGGCTAGCTCGGCTGTTCTGTTTTGGGTCTATTCCTATGATCTTCTGGGTGGCTTGGAGAGGGCTGAATGGTTTGGAATGGCCTCACTCCTATGCTAATTGGACCAGCAGTGTCAGGCTTGGCTAAATGACACCTTTCATCCAGGGGCTTGTTCACCCATGGTGGCAGAAGGATTCAGGCACAGCAGAAACAATCTCATTGGGCAACCAGTGTTCAAATGCCTGCATGTGCCACATTTGCTGTTCCCCTCTGGGCAAAGCTGATCACAAGGCCAGTCCCATGGTTAAGGTAGTATAGGAATACCAGAGGGAAGGAGTGACATTTACTCTGTACCTGACTTATGTAATTACACCTTTACAATACAATAGAAAAATTAAAAAAGAACTAAGGAGCCAGGCATTGGTTGCTCATGCCTGTAATCTAGCTACTCAGATCTCAGGATCAAGGTCTAAAGGAGCACTTGGTTTGGAAAGCCAGCCTGGGCAAGAAAGTCCATGAGACTCTTATCTCCAATGAATTACTCCCCCCCCCAAAAAAAGCCAGAAATAGAGCTGAGGCTCAAGTGGCAGAGCACTAGCCTTGAGTGACAAAGCTAAGGGACAGCGACTACACCCTTAAGTCCAAGCCCTAGTGCCAGCACAGAAAAACAAAAAAGCCAAACAAAACAAAAAAGAAGTAGAGGAAAAGGAGGAAGATGGAGAAGGGTGGAGGAGGATTCACAAGGTGGGATGTGGGCTATCATCTGGTCATCAGCCCTCCTACCTGTTAAAGGGTAAACTGGGTGAAGTCATCTAAGCAAGCTCACAACTCCTGTCCTACACAAATCAACCATTTCCACAGAGTCCTTGCTTCATCCATTATAGATTAAAAAAGCAATAATATCCAAGGATGTTCCCTCATTATTTTGCATTACTAAGTGACTGGAAGTCATTCACCCTTGTTTGTTTCAGAGAGGAGCTGGGCCAAGGCCCCACTGAGAGGAATGACAACTTTGCATGGTTTAGCATGATTAACATAACCATCACAGATACCACAGCATTGAGACTCAGCCCCCAACAAACTAGAGCCTGCAGACCCACTCATCTTCCCACTCATCTTTTCATGAGCCACCCCTTCAACAAATATCAAGCCAACCACTGTTTCTTACCTGGCACAGAATTAAGACCAACCTGCGTATCCTTGAAGAATGGCCAATCTAACAATGTGGGCTTATACCAGCCCATAGGATATAAAAGAATGGAAGTATTGAAAGATTCTCAAGGATAACTTATGAAGACAAGTGATGAATGGAAGGGGAAGTGTGGCTCAAGTGCTAAGAGTGCCAGCCATGAACAGGAAAAAACACTTAGCAGGAATGCAAAGTCCTGTGTTCAAGTTCCAGCTAACCCTTATCCCCTCCACACACATACATGTGATGGAACTTTGGCTCTGGACACATTTTTGTCATTGCTAAAGAGCCCTTGAGTGTCCCACCCCTGAGCCAAGGTTACATCTGTTGGCTGTCCCCAATCACGCCCTGCCATGGGCTCTGTGATGGAATCCGGCCCCATAGTTGCAGGCTGCAGGCCTGGTCTCCATCTTGGTCCCTGGGCATCATGCAGGAAGAATAACAGGAGATGAATCCCAGTACCATGAGAGCCCTTAGTCTTCAGTTCTGTCTAACTCCTCTTACTTTCCTCTAAGGACAGCCAGTCATTTATTCATTACCACAAAGATAAGTCTCTAGATTATCTGACTCCAATTCCTCTATAGGCCTAAAGTCCCCTTAATGCTCACTAAATATTCAGTGGTTGTTTCCCCTGCCCCTTCATTCTCTCAGGGAAGAAAGAAAGAAAGAAAGCCATTTGTTAAGTACTGTCCTTAAGGATGACCCACATTTTCCAGAAAGATTAAAAAAAAAGCCAAAAGTGGTGCTGTGGCTCAAGTGGTAGAGCGCTAGCCTTGAGCAAAAGAAGTTCAGGGACAGTGCCAGGCCCAGAGTTAAAGCCCTATGACCAGCCCCCCCCCAAAAAAAAACAGAACTAAGAAGACATTGCACATAAATTTATCAAGTAATAACTGTTTAGTTTAGCACATGTCTCCATGAATCTTCCCTCATCCATTCCAGGAAATTTGCTGAAGGTCAGACCCCGATTTCTCAACGTCTGATCAATGCTTGTTCAGGATCACCCATGGTCAGGAATCAGGAGAGCCCCTTATCCCTCTCATGTTATATGGCCCTGACTGGCACAGGCCCCAGGGAGCAGACACCGGCTACAGCTCTGCCTCTTGCTTGTTTCCAAATGTATTGCCACATATTTCAAGAGCCTGCCTTTCTCCCTAGAGAGCTGCCTTTGTGGTGCATTTCTGGAAGTTCCCACAGAGCACCAGTGCCGGGGGTGGGGAGGAGAGGGAGGGGCTGTCATTCTGCCATCTCCCTTCACTGGTCCTCATTCAGCATCCTCAAGATTGCTGCTGTCCGAGTGGCTATCTACAATAGCTGGAAAAAGACACCCTTCAGCCACAGCGTTTTGCAGACTGAGACAGAGAAGAAAAGGCAATGCTTTTTTTTCACATTTTGGCCTTTAGAAGGCATTCATCTAATTCCTATTCTTCCTGGCTTTTGTGGGGTCATTTCCTCTTCTTCCGTGTTTCCCATCTCCTTCAGAAACTTGAATATAAATAGCTGCAATTCTCTTTCTCTCTATAAATGTCCCTAGTGGATGCTTTCACCTGCTAAACTTCATTTTTGCCCTTCAGGAGGACTAGCCTTCTCTCCTTCCTTCTTAGGGTCTGTGAGTAGTATTTAGGCTGATCTCTGTGTTTGTAGGTCTTTCTCAAAGGCCCACAGATCAGCTGTGCCTTCAAGAAGTTTCTAGTAGCTATGAGCTACCTTACTTTTTTCTTCTCTGTCTCTCCTGTTATTTCTTGGGCTCTCATTCCCCCTGGAGACTGTGGTCTTCATAGAGTTTGGTGTTTCAAGGAGAAAGTCCTGAGTGAGTCCTCGCCTGCCCCATGCAGAATCAACCTGCCAAAGTGTAGCATGCATCTACTCCATGCCCTGTGCCCTGACAGTAACAGTCACTCTGTGAGTTAGCTTGTTACTATTTCCACCTTACAGAAGGAGAAACCAAGGCACACAAGTAGAAGATGACAGGTAGGATTCAAATCTAGCCAGCCTGACCAAATGTGTGTTGAGTTATCTTATTGGAATTTCATTTCCAATGAAGACAGTTATCCTACTTCCCCCCCAGTAGCTGGAATGGCAGGTGTGAAACACCACATCTAGCTCTAAATCTGCCCGCTCTTATTTGAAGCTATTATTGTGTTTGTGCTCTGGACTTTCTCCCAGAAGCAACCAGGCAAATCGGTGTATTTCTCCTGAACAGAGCAGTAAGCAGATAAATAATGTAGTCTTGTCCTTGCCTTCTGAGTCATATATAAATCTCTCTATTTAATAAACAGTTCTCTCTCTCTCTTTCTTCCTCCTCCCCCTCTCTCTCAGTTTGCCTGTCCTTTGATGCAGGAGGCTTCTGAGTGAGCCCAGAGGCTTATGCATGTGGCTCACACTTGCAATCCTAGCTACTCAGGAGGCTGAGATTTGAGAATGGAGGTTTAAAACCAGCACAAGCAGAAATGTCTTTGAGACTCTCCAGTTGTCTACCAAAAAACCAGAGGGAAACTGTGGTCATGGTAGAGTACCAGCTTGAGATACAGTGCACACAGGCCCTGAGTTGAAGCCCCAGTATGATTTTATATATATATATATATAGAGAGAGAGAGAGAGAGAGAGAGAGGGAGAGAAGGAGGGAAGGAGATAGGTAGGTAGATAGATACGTTCATACATACATACGTACATACATACATAGATAAAACTAATCCTGTTCCCTTCATTGCCTGTAGTTTCTCTCACCTAGCCAAGTCAGAAGTCTCCCAACTGGTACCCTGCCTCTGGTTTATTCTTCTAATCCTTCGCAAGAATGTTTTTTTTGAACTGGATATGATGTCATATCCCTGTGATCTCAGTACTCAGGAGACAGAGGCAGAAGGATCTCAAGTTTAGGGCTGGCATGAGGGACTTAGTGAGATCCTGTCTCAAAACAGAACAGCAATAAAAGAATGCCCAATTTGAGATCCCATTTAATCAAGACACACCCTTGTTTAAAACCCTTCCATGGCTCCTATTACCTAGAGAATAAAGTCAAAGCTCTCTTTAAGATGCATATAAATGACTTCTGGATTTGATGAAGATTAACTTTTCCTCCTTTTTTGCCAGTCATGGGGCTTGGATTCAGGGCCTGGGTACTGTCCCTGAGCTTTTTGCTCAAGGCTAGCACTCTACCTACCACTGGAGCCATAACACCACTTCTGGCTTTTTCTTATTTTTTTTCTTTTGGTCGGTCGCGGGGCTTGAACTCTGGGCCTGGGTGCTGTCCCTGCGCTCTTCAGCAAAAGGCGAGTGCTCTACCTCTTGAGCCACAGCGCCACTTCTGGTTTTCTAGTGGTTTATTGGAAATCAGAGTCTCATGGACTTTTCTGCCCAGGCTGGCTTTGAACCATGATCCTCAGATCTCAGTCTCCTGAGTAGCTAGTATTACAGGTGTGAGCCACCGGTGCCCAGCTACTTCTAGCTTTTTCTGTTTATATGGTACTGTGGAATCGAACCCAGGCAAGCACTCTACCACTAATCCACATTCCCAATCCTAACCTTTCCAATTTTATCTTTCTCTACTCTTCACCCTTGTGTATCACACTTTAATTTCTGTCTGATCAACCGTATTTATAGAATCCTGGAATCCTATCAATTTTATACCTTAGAGTCTGCACATTCTCTAACATCATCTACAGTATCTGTTCTGGTTATTTGTGTAATAGCCCACCTTGAAACTTTGTGGCCTACCACAAAAATTATGGATACAGATCCATTGGAGTAGTCCACATGGGGGTGTCTCTTGTAGTTGAAGTCAGATACTGGCTGGTGACTTATATTCACACATGTATCTTGGGTAAGATGGCCAGAAAGCTGGAGCGTGGCTAAGCATCTTTCTCCCTTTCTCTATACCTCCTGTCTTGGGGCTGTTGTCAGTGTGGTAGTCTCAAGGAAATTGGATTTATACTGGCAGCTCGCTTCCTACTGCCACTAGTATGTGCTGCCTTCTTCTTCTTCTTCTTCCTCTTCTTCTTCCTCCTTCTTCCTCCTCTTCCTCTTCTTCTTCTTTTTTTTTTATTTTTATTTTTGGGTCCAGTCGTAGGGTCTGAACTCTGGGCCTGGATGCTGTCCCTCAGCTCTTCAGCTCAAGGCTAGCCCTGTACCACTTGAGCCACAGCACCACTTCTGGCTTTTTTCTGCTTATGTGGTGCTAAGGAATCAAACCCAGGGCCTCATGCATGCGAGGCAAGCGCACTACCACTGAGCCAACTTCCCAGCCTCCTCCTCCTCCACCTCCTCCTCCTCCTTCTTTTGCCAGTCCTGGGGCTTGAATTCTGGGGGCTTGGGTACTGTCCCTGAGCTTCTTTTTGCTCAAGGCTAGTGGTCTCCCACTTGAGCCACAGCTGTACTTCAGGTTTTTCAGTGATTAATTGGAGATAAGAACCTCAAAGACTTTCTTGCTTGGGATGGCTTTGAACCTGGATCCTTACATCTCACCCTCCTGAATAGCTATGATTAATTACTGAATTAATAATCACTGAATTACTGCTATTTTATAATTTGGCAAGATAGAGCCAATCCCTTTCAAGCTATCAGTCAATAAAACTTCTGGAGCATCTGGAAGTAAATCTTAGAAGTTGATTTTCATTCTAAAACCTTTTGTGTATATTTTCAGGCTTCCACAAATATAATAACCAAAATATTGAGCATGTAGCAAATAAAAATGTTCATTATGAAGTAGCACTGTACCAAGAACCTTGTATTCATTATTTAATTAATTAGGCCCCACAATGATCTTATGTATTAAAGATGTTGAAATGTGTGAGACTAAGTAAGCTCCTCAAGGCCGCATAACAGTGCTATAGACTCATGTTTAGAATCTGTACTATTTATATATTTACTTTTGCACTGGTACTGGGCTTGGACTCAGAGCCTGGGCACTGTCATTTAGCTTTTTTTTCTCAAGGCCTGCACTCTACCGTTTGAGCCATGTCTCTATTTTTGACTTTTTGGAGATAAGCGATTCCTAGACATTCCTGCCTAGGCAGGTTTTGAACTGTGCTCTTTAGATCTCAACCTCCTGAGTAGTGAGTTATAGGTGTGACCCACAGTGCCCTTTATTTATTTATTTATTTGGAAACAGGGTTTCACTTGAACTCATGAGCCTCCTGCCTCAGTTTCCCAAGAGTTGGTATTAGAAGTATGCACTACCAGTGTGGATTATAATCTGTATTTAAATCTTATCCCGAACACAGCTTTTTCAGAGCAGGGCAGCAGAGTATCACAGAGGTAATGAGGGGTGTCACACAGGAATGCTGGAAGAAAAAGGTCTACTGTGTCCTTAGTGTCTTATGTGGGATCAGCAGGTGGACACTGTGAGGAGATCCATAGTAACAATGCACTGGAGACTGATCTTACCACCATGTCCCCTCATACTTCAGGGTGCCCTGAAAAGTCATGGGGCCCATGCCCCTCAGAAGGTGTATAACTGTGGTGGCCCTTTTTTTTTTTTTGTCAGTCTTGGGCTTGAACTCTGGGCCTGGGTACCCACCCCCTGCACTCTTCAGCTCAAGGTGAGCGCTCTACCACTTGAGCCACAGCTTGCCATGGGATTTTGAAAGTGGAATTCATGTTGTTAGGCAAGTTTTCAGAAGGAAAGAATGCTGGCTATGCTTGATCATCTGTGCTGGGACAGCTGAGAAGCTTAGCTAACATGGAAGCCCTCATTTATTAATACCTCTGCCTTTTGCAATTTACTATTACCTACTTGAGGAATGAAAGTTGTTATTTATTTATTTTGTCAGTACTGGGGTTTGAACTCAGGGCCTTGGCACTGTCTCTGAATCTTTTTGCTTAAGGCTAGCACTTTCTTACTTGAGTCACAGTTTTACTTCCAGTTTTTCTGGTGGGTAATTGGAGATAAGAGTCTCATGGACTTTCTTGCCTGGGCTTGGTTTTGAACCATGATCCTCAGATCTCAGCCTCCTGAGTAACTATGATTACAGGCATGAGCCACCAGTGCCTGGCTTTTATTTTTCATTTATTTATTTGGCAGAGGGGTGTACAATCCTGGGATTTTGAACTCAGGCTTTGGGCAGCTGTCTTTGAGCTTCTTTTGTTCAAAGCTAGCATTCCACCACTTGAGCCACAGTTCTACTTTCTGCCTTTTTGGTATTTTATTTGAGATAAGAGTCTGGCTTCCTAATGCAATCCTCAGATCTCAGTCTCTTGAGTAGCTAGGATTATAGGCATGAGCCATCAGCACCCAGCTGGCTTTTTTTTTTTTTAATACTAATAAGAATCCTGTATCATATTCTTCAAAACCTTCTGTATCTAAATTGTCAACGAGTCCCCTGATGTGGTAAAGTTTGGTCCACTTTAATTCAGCAGTTGCATATCTCAAACCTAGAAAACCAGCATGAGACAATTCTGGCTTGCTGGCTTAAAGAAAGATTCCACATTACCAACTAAGATGACAGTACAAATTAGAAAGTATTCTCTCACTCTATGGCCTTCAGATATTGGCTAAATACACATTGCTTTAGGTAAGTTGTTTTCCCAACATAGCCACAAATGGTTGTGAACATCTTAGAGCATAATTTAGAGGTCAGAACACTTAGAAGTCTTACATGGAATTTTTTGTTTTTGTTTTTGTTTTTTGTTTTTTTGTCGGTCGTGGGGCTTGAACTCTGGGCCTGGGCGCTGTCCTTCAGCTCTTCAGCTCAAGGCGAGCACTCTACCACTTGAGCTACAGCGCCACTTCCAGTTTTCTGGTGGTTTATTGGAGATAGGAGTCTCACGGTCTTTCCTGCCCGGGCTGACTTTGAACCGCGATCCTCAGATCTCAGCTTCCTGAGTAGCTAGGATTACAGGCGTGAGTCACCAGCGCCCGGCAGAAGTGTTAAAATCTAAATTAGACTCTGTCTGTCTCTCTCTGTCTCTCTCTGTCTCTCTCTCTTTCTCTATCTTTCCTTCTTGGGCTGATACTGGGGCTTGAACTCTGAGTCTCAAGATCTTACTTGGCTTTTGTGCTCAAGGCTGTCCTGCTACCACTTGAGTTCATACCTCCACTCTGGCTTTTTAAACTTCTTTATCTTTTGTTGGTCATGGAGCTTGAACTCAAGGCCTGGGTGCTGTTCCTGAGCTCTTTTTGCTCAAGGTTAGTGCTCTACCACTTTGAGACCACTTCTAGTTTTTCTAGTGACTAATTGTAGATAAGATTCTCATAGACTTTCCTACCAGGCTGGCTTTGAACTGTGATCCTCAAATCTCAAACTTCTTAAGTATCTAGGATTATAGGCATGAGCCATCTGTGCCCAGCTTACTTCTGGCTTTTTTGCTGGTTAACTGGAAATAAGAGTCTCTGATTTTTTTTGGGGGGGGGAGGGTCAGTCATGGGGCTTGAACTCTGGGCCTGGGTACTGGCTCTGAGCCCTTCAGCTCAGAGCACTCTATCACTTGAGCCACAGTGCCACTTCTGGTTTTCTGGTGGTTAATTGGAGATATGAGTCTCACTGACTTTACTTCCCGGGCTGGCTTTGAACCATGATCCTCAGATCTCAGCCTTCTGAGTAGCTGGGATTACAGGTGTGAGCCACAGGTGCCCCCACATAGTCTTTCAGGTTTATCTGCTCAGGCTGGCTTTGAGCCATGATCCTCAGATATCATCTTCCCCAGCAGCTAGGATTACAGGGATGAGCTATCAGCACCTGGCCTTAGTCTCTTATTAACTTTGGCTTCTTTCTTTTTATGTGTTACGTCTCCCAGCCAAAGACCAGACCTCTCAGGGGGTTGAAGAGAAAGACCCTCCAAAGAGTCACCCTTATTCTGTGGAGACACCATACGGCTTTCACTTAGACCTCGACTTCCTCAAATATGTGGATGACATTGAAAAGGGAAATACCCTCAAAAGAATTCCTATCCACAGGAGAGCCAAACAGGCCAAGTTCAGCACCTTACCCCGAAACTTCAGTCTTCTGGACAGTGGGGCTCGTCCTCATGTTCTTCTTCCTCAGCAAAACTGGTCTCCAGTGGTGCCGAGCAAGGTGTCCCTGGGGACCCCGGAGCATAGCCAGGCCCTGCGGCTGGGTGATCCTCTCCAGGGCCCAGCCAGTGGGAACGAGCTCAGCTACCACAGGAAGGCCCTGTTGGCAGAGGCCTCCAGACAGTTGGAGGCTCCTGGTCCAGAGGATGCTGATCTGGCCCCTGGGACCAGTCGGCCTCAGCTTTTGAGAGCATCCAGCATGCCCGCCACACTGCTGCAAAACAGGGCCTCAGAGGAGGCAAGCGTGGGCCCGGGGCTCCCTGTGTCTCCAGCCCTGCCTCCACTTCTGGGAGAAGACAGTGTCTGCCATGGTGCCTTTGGCCCTGCGGAAGGATTTGCAGGTTTTCATAGCTCCAGCCCTCAAGCATCAGCCCAGCTGACTAGCAGGGAGCTGGAAGATGGAGTGCTGGTCCAGAAGGGGACTGAGTCTGCAGAGGGTGAAGTGGAGACCCCAAAACACCTGTGCCTCCCAGGCCCTCCTTCCTCATTCCAGAAGATTGTTCCAGATGATGGGGAAGGAGAATACAGAAGCAGAACAGAGGTGGTGTTTACACCTGACTCCTCCACGCCCAGCCCTCCACCTCTGCCATCACCCATCCCCGAGAATGAGCTCCCGCTGGAGGAGATCGAGCTCAGCATTAGCGAGATCCCACCCCCGCCCCCTGTGGAGGTAGATGTGAGAAGCATTGGCGTCCGGGTCACTGAGGAAAGCCTAGGCCTGGTGGGGCTCGATCCCAGTGCCATCTCCAGTCTAAAGCAGCAGATCTCCGCCCTCGAGGGTGAGTTATCCGGAAGCACAGAGGAGCTGGCCCAGGTCAGAGCTGCCCTCCAGCAGCACAAAGAGGAAATCAAGGCCAGAGAGCAGAGAATTCAAGAGCTAGAGTCCTCCCTAGCCCAGTTAGAAGAAAAGCTTAGCCAAGAGAATGCCAGGGCTGCTCAGGTTCAGATTGATGCCATGGTTAACACAGATCCTATCCTTGGCCTCATCCCCTGGGAGTCATGTGACAAGAGCATCGGGGTCAACCTGAGCATCGCAGACTCTGAAAGCTGGGGACCCAGGGCACAGGACTATGGCCTCTTACGGGGGCAGAACAGCCCCACAGCAGGGGGGCAGAGTCCTGAAGAACGTGTGCCACCCCATCTGTCACTGCCCAAGGGACCAGAGAAGGGCCTCGCCTCTTCTTTTTGTAGCTGCCTGTCCACTGAGCTCAGAATCGAAGAAGATGTCTCTGAGCCAGATAGATCCCTACAGGCAGCGGTGGAAGGCCCGGCCAGGGCAGTAGACGGCTCTTCATGGAGTAGCCACAGAGAGGCCACCCCAGCAGCAATGCAGGAGGCCAGTGCAGAGCTCCCTGGAAAAGAGCACCCAGAACGACCAGCAAGCTCCCCGACAGATGTCACGATCGGCCAGTACGTGAAGAAGATCCAGGAGCTCCTGCAGGAGCAGTGGAACTGCCTGGAGCACGGGTACCCAGAGCTGGCCAGCGCCATCAAGCAGCCTGCCTCCAAGCTCAGCAGCATCCAGAGCCAGCTGCTCAGCTCCCTCAACCTGCTGCTGTCTGCCTACTCTGCCCAGGAACCTGCTCAGAAGGATCCCTCAGCTCCTTCCTCCTCGCCAATAGGTAAACACTGGGGTGCCAGACCAGGAATTGTCTCTCCTTTATAGCACAAGTTGGAAGTGTGTGTGTGTGTGTGTGTGTGTGTGTGTGTGTGTGTGTGATTTTATCACCTCCAGGAATTTGATAGAAAACAATTGATTTATGTAAAAGTAGGAGGGGGCTAGTACCTCTACTCTGATTGCAGGGCCACCACATACAGCTATGAGACAGTGCAGGCCATGGAGGCGCTAGCAGGATCCGAGTAGAAATTCAGCCCACAGTCTGTCTGCCAGGCCATGCAGCTGCAGCTCTTGGTCTGCAGAGATGGTGCTTAGTCTCATTTGCATGGCATAAACTCTAGGGCTAGGGCTAAGTGTGGTGCTGCTGTGTGCTCTGCCAGCGTCCCTTCCTGGTCTCCCAGGCTCTGGCATTCCTGCCTTCCTTTTCAGCTCTCCCACATTAAAAGTCCTCTACAAGCCAGGGGCCAATGGCTCACGCTTGTAATCTTAACTACTCAGAAAGCTGAGATCTGAGGACTGTGGTTTGAAGCCAGACCAGGCAGACAAGTGCAGGACTCTTATCTCCAATTAACCACCAAAAAGCCAGAAGTGGAGCTGTGGCTCAAGTGTTAGAGCACCAGCCTTGAGTGAAAAAGCTAAGGGACAGAGCCTGGGCTCTGAATTCAAGCCCCTGGACTGGTATTTAAAAAAAATCTCAAACTCTCTCTCTCTCTCTCTCTCTTTCTCTCTCTCTCTCTCTCTCACACACACACACACACTTGTGCGCACACACGCACACCCTTCTTCTAACAGGTCATACCCTTTTCACTATTGAATAAAATGGAATCATATTGTGCTTATGCTCAGTGGGTAGATCTGCTTCCTGCCACAGGCACAAGTTGGCTGCTTCCTCGTGTTGATTCTAGTTCTAGTCTTGCCCATTGGGAAATGCTTCCTGTTGCACAGAGCACAGCATGTGTGTCTGCTGTGTGCCCAGTGCCATCACTGTCTCCACATCACATGTAAGGACTTGCATGTGATCCAGAAAGGACCACTGAGGGGTCTTGAGCAGACCTGGGGGATTCTGGACTACAAGTCAAGACCTGAGTTGTCCTGCTCTGCTATTTGCTGAGCAAGTCTAGGCCTCAGATTTCTCAGCCATAGGACAAGGACGGCAGAGGCATCTCTACCACATGGTTCTCTGAGAGAGTAGTGCTCCAGTAACTGCAGTCCATCATCCACAATAGAGAGAGGTATTACTTACCCAAATACTTCTAAGGACATTGGCCAGAAGGCCGCGCCTCCTTCGAAAGCCCTCAAGACCTTTGCTTTGCATTATCTGGTCCACTGTCCTTCTTTGCTTCTTCATACCTTCAACCTGTATTCCCTGTATTGGTGCTGGTCCTGGGGCTTGACTTTAGGGCCTGGATAGTGACTATGAGCTTTTGTACTCAAGGCTAGTGCACTCTACCACTTGAGCTAAAGCTCCACTTCTAGCTTCTTGATGGTTAATTGGAGATTGACTCACAGACTTTCCCACCAGAGCTGGTTTTGAACCTTGATCCTCAGATCTCAGCCTCTTGAGTAGCTAGGATTACTGGAATGAACTCCCACTACACCCAGCTAGAATCCTCGTTTTGCTACCTCAAGATCATTCTAATCTGTGATGTTGTGTCTGCCTAGAGATCTCCCCGTCGACCAGCCTTAAATCCATAATGAAAAAGAAAGACTATGGCTTCCGTGCAGGAGGTAATGGAACCAAAAAGAACCTTCAGTTTGTTGGGGTTAACGGTGGGTAAGCATCGCCTGCTGCTGCTTCCTCTCCTGCTGTTGTCCTTACTGCTCTGTTCCTGGGGGAAGCATCTGGTCTGTGTTCTACGAGGGATTTAATCTCCAGGGTCATTTAAAACTTCGTGTCAGGTGTACGTGGAGTTTGGCTCATTACCAGCTGTGAGCTTCTGTTTTTAATATACCTAGGGCCAGGACTCCAAGTGACTTCTAGAAACTTAACTGAGTATCTGATCCCTTTGAGGAAGGCCTTTAACTTGAACCACAGCACTTAAGCTAGCCCAAGCTCAGATGATTTGTTGAACTTTAAGTTTTACCAGTTAAGCTGGGTGCTGGTGGCTCAGGCCTGTAATCCTAACTATTCTGGAGGCTAAGATCTGAGGATTGCAGTTTGAAGACAACCTGGGCAGAAAAGTCTGTGAGACTCTTATTTCCAATTAACCACCCCAAACCAGCCTTGGGTTCAAGCCCCATGACTGGAAAAAAAAAAAGGATCAGTTTATTTATTTACTTACTTATCATCTTAGGTATCAAACCCAAGGCTTTGAGCAAGCTAGGCAAATGCTCTCCTACTAAACTGAACCCCAGCCCAATCCATTTAATTTTTTCTTCCTTTAACAATGTAAGTCCCATCCCAGAGAACTAGACTACTGATGTAGAGCATGAATCATACCTTCCATACTTGAGACAAATAAACATTTGGTTTAGAAGGTAGTAGAGAGCTAGAAGTGACTCAAGTGGTAAGACACCAATTGATCAAGAAGCCAAGTAAGAGTGAGACCCTGAATTCAAGCCCCAATACCCTAAAAACAAAGACAATCTGGAATATAGTCATGAAGAGAAGTGCATATTAAGTAATTTTTGTCCCTGTGTGAACATGATAGTATGTACACAGATTAAGATATCCATGATGGGAACTGGACAATATAATCCCATGGGACCACTGTGACATACAGATTGTAATCTGTCATTGACTGATGCATTATTAAGTGATACATGGCTATATTTCCTAAACTTGTCATTAAAAGTAGTTAAATGCCAATAGTATGCTAGATTGTGGGAATACAAAAGTTAAGTAAATTTTAATCATTTAAGATTTAAAATACTGGGTGTTGGTGGCTTATACCTGTAATCCTAATTACTCAGGAGTTTGAGATCTGGAGCCTGGGCAGAAAACGCTGCAAGATTCCATCAACAGTCAGTGAAAGACTGCCTGGAGGCTTGGCTAAAGCAGCAAGAGCTAGCCTTCACCCAGCAGGCCGAGTTAGAACATAAAGTCCTAAATTCAAGCCCTGATATCAGCAAAAAAGTGGGATAGGGCTAGAGGCCTGATTCACATAGTGGAATATCTGGCTAGCAGGTGTAGGGCCTTCAGTTCAAAACCCAAAAGACCTTTATTAAATGCCAGCAACCTGCTAGGTGGTACCTTTTTTTTTTTTTAAAGGAATAAATCCTGGTCCCTACTTTATAAAGCTCACAAATGAGTCAAGAAACAAAAAGGGGGGAAAAAAAGAAACAAAAAAGAGCTGCTCATACACCAAAATAAGTTCCCTGGTAAGGATGTACAGGATGCTGTGGGATCCTAAAGGAAGCTCCCCCAACCTAACAGGCAATGGGTCCAGAAGGCTGCCAAGAAGAAGGAAAGTCCTTCCTAATTCAAGTCACACGGAAAGGGCATCATTGCTGAGGTTGTTCAGGGAAATCATGAAATGGGGTATCACAGGCAACTCACACTTCTGATGATGTTTTACTCAGTGGCCTGGTAAGAAAGTAATCTGTTTTGATCGTTTGCCACTTAGTGTTCTAAAGAGGAGAATCAGCCTAATGTAGTTCACTGTCCCCAGGCCTGGAAGGCCCTAGTCATTGCTCAGCCTGCCTTATCTACCCTCTGGCTTGTGCCTTCCCTCACTCCACCCCCCCCCGCCCCCACCCACCTCCCATCAGGGCCCATATTCATTCATTTCCCCCCTTCCCCTAGTGCTTCTTCTGGGCATTGCCAGTATCTAGTACTCAAATGCTCACAAGGGGAGCGTTGAAGTCTTATTCTCAGCTCTGAAGACTCTGACATAGTATACCTCAAGTGCGATTCACCTCCTGCAAACACTTCCCATAGGAAGTCAAGGTTAATTGTGTTTTGCTGGGCTCCGGTGGCTCACGCCTGTAATCTTAGCTACTTGGGAGGCTGAATTTGAGGACTGAGGTTCAAAGACAGCCTGGGCAGGAAAGTCCGTGAAGCTCTTATCTCCAGTTAACCACCAGAAAATCAGAAGTGGTGCTGTGGCTCAAGTGGTAGAGTGCTTGCCTTGAACTGAAGAGCTCAGGGACAGCACCCAGGCCCAGAGTTCAAGCCCCACACTGACAAAAAAAAAAAGAATTTGTGTTATGGGCTGGGCTTGGTGGTTTATGCTTGTAATCCCAGCTATTGGGAAGGTGAAAATAGGAGGTTTATAGTTCAAGCTGGGCAAGCTATCTGAAAAACAAACAGAAAGCAAAAGAACTGGGAGTGGCCCAAGTAGTAGAGCACTTGACCTAGCAAAGTGCAATCCCAGTACCACACATACAGTAAGGAAGGAAGGAATGAAGGGAGGGAAGGAAGGCAGGAGGGAGGGAAGAACATAACCTATATCATACACACATACACAAAAAAAGAAAAGGAAGGAAGGAAAGAAGAAAATAACCTATATTCTTATGGGAATAACCCTGCCTCTCAACACTGTTCACTCTTATGACTTATTTATTTTATCCATTGTTTTAATCACTATATGAATATAATAGTTGATCCTGTGTTTATTTTTCTGCCTCTTTCTACTGGCATATTAGCTTCCTTAGGGCAAGGACTTTGTTAGAACCTTTAGAACACTCCCTAGTACCTAGGTACTTACTAAATTTTTGCTGAATGAATGCATTTACTTCCAGGTAGCTTTTATGGAAACAATTTTAAGATAAGCTGTGCTTGGTAAACATACTATGCCCCTACTTAATCACAAAAACAAAAGGTTCCAAGCACAAAAGTTCTAAAAGTTTCCAAGCAGAAACCCCTGAGGTTGAAGCAGGTGGGAATGTGAGTGTACTGGAGAGAAGGCTGGGTGTGCAAATCCAGTGAGCACAGAAGCCTTAGGTGAAGGTGCCCACGTGGAGACAGGAAGCCATGGCCCCATGGCTGTGTCCAGTGCCCTTCAAACGCAGATCTGAACTGCATTTCTCCATTCGGGTCTTCTGTTGAACATCGGCATTAGAATCAGTAAATCTCCTAGGACTTGACTGGCCTCTTGTGTGATTCCTCACTGGAGTTTCTTCAGGCTGAATGTAAAGATCGCTGCTGAATGTAAAGATCGTTCCAAGTCAAGTGACTAGGACCTCACTTTCGCTGAAAGCAGAGGTTCAAATGGTGCATCTGAGAAAGGCCAATGTTGTGTTCACACGTGTGTACCACACAGAACCCACGCCTTGCCAAATGTACCCTGGGCCGCAGCAAGAGAACTAAAGGAAGGCTCCTGACCACCCAATGTCATGACTTAATCTGGCAGTTCAGGACACTCAGAGCACATAGGGAGATGTTTGCATGGATTTGGGTCTAACATTAGGATTCCAGAAGCAAAACTTCCACGGCCATTTGGGACTCTCTAGATTGTCTGAATGCAATGGCCAATTAAAGGCAGGCTGCTCAGTGTTTGCAGCTGAGTGCAGTTTATTATCTTTTGTGTGGGTGTGGATATGGGTGTGTTGCTAGTCCTGGGGCTTGAACTCTGGGCTTGGGCTCTATCCCTCAGCTCTTCAGCCAAGGCTAGCATGCTCTACCACTTTAGCTACAGCGCCACTTCTGGTTTTCTAGTGGTTTATTAGAGATAAGAGTCTCACAGACTTTCCTGCCCCAGCTAGCTTTGAACCATGATTTTCAGATCTCAGCCTCCTGAGTAGTTAGGATTAAAGGCATGAGCCACCAGCGCTGGGCCAGCTTATTATCTTTTTCTCCCCAAATAACGTCCAGCATCAGAACCTCCCTGCTTCTCTGACACTGGAGTTCTTCAGAATCCCTCATCCCAGCCTACAGAAGCAGGTCACAGAGAATGTGGTTAGCCACTGGGAGGGGTATCTGAGGCTCACCTTGATTTCACTGGGGTGGACATGGGTCCTCTCAGGAAGGACAGACTGAGTGACCTTTGTGTCCTCTCCTAGCTATGAGACCACCTCCAGCGAGGACACCAGCGGTGAAGACAGCTCCCCTGAAGACTTGTCTGAGAGTGAGGTAGAAAAGAAATGCGATGGTCCAGAACCCAGGCAGGGCAGGGATGCCCACCCCAGCTGTGAGCCTGGGCAGGCTGTCTCCCAGGGCATCCTCAGCACACCCCAGGAAGATGGGCCTGGAGAAGAAGTCTCCCATCCCAAGACTGAGAGGTGAGTCAGATGGATACAGTGGGCTCCTGTTCCTCTGCCGAGGGGCAAAGATGTATTGTCATCCTTCTATCCAATTGCTTGGTCCTGTTGTCCTTCGTTTTGTTTCCATTCAGCAGTGAGTTTCTGTTCTATGCTGAATAGTTAAGCTAACTAGAATACAGTCATGCCCAGGGTTCTGTTTATAAACTCAGTATTTACAAAGTACTGGAAATGTGAGGCACTTTCTAAATATTGACTCTTTCTTCCTCCCTTCCCCTTCCTTTCCCTCTGTTCCTCTTCCTTTCGCTTGCTTGCTTTTTCTCTCCCTCCTTCCTTCCTTCCTTCCCTTCTTTCTTTTCTTTCCCCCTCCCTCCTTCCTTACTTCTCTCTCTGTCCTTCTTTCTTCCTTCTAGTCTCTCTCTGACCTTATATAGCTGAAGCTGATCTCAAACTAATGATATTCTTCCTCAACCTTCTGAGTGCTGGAATTTGGAATTACAGGCATGTACTACATGCATAGCTGCAAAAGTATTATTTATATTATCTTTTTAACAATCCTGCAAAGAAACAATGACTGTTGCCCCCCCCCCTTCACTGATGTAGAAGCAGGCAGAGAGCAGCAGCCGCAAAGAGAGGACCCAGGATCTTCTGACTGAAACTTGTCTCCCCTCAGTTGGCCGCGCTGCCATCATCTTTTAAAGTGATAGCTAGTCATACACATGACAAAGAGTACTGCCTTTTCAGTTGGACATGCTTCCATTGACCAAGTCCTTAAGCTGATGTTGCTTCAGGCTCCTCATCTGAAAAATGTGGACAGTAGCAACCTGTCAGCTTTGATTTCAAGTTGGTGTAAGAACAAACAGTAGTATGCTTGGTACCATGTCTGCCGGGGGGTAGGCTCTCTAAAGAAGTAGACATAGGTGGTCAGGGCCACTGTCATCATCATCACCATCTGGGGGGCTAGGCTGGAAGAGGGACAAGCAAGCGTGTGCACAAGCTGTCAAGCAGGTCCATGATCAGACTGTGATTAGCAAGTGTCATTAAATCTTACTGAGGCCTCTGGATGCTGAACATCTGCCTTAAAGGGACCTGGAAGAGTGTTTGCCCCATGACTCCTGGCCTCAAAGCTTCTCATTTGTTGGGTTCTATTAGTACTTAGGGGATCCTTCATGGAGGAGTAAATAACCTGAAGGATTTTGTTGGTGATGGGGGTGGTTGTGGGGCTTGAACTCAGGGCCTGGGTGCTGTCTCGGAGCTTTTACCCTCAAAGCTAGTGCTCTACCACTTTGAACCAGAGCTCTTCTTCTAGGTTTGTGGTAAGAGTCTCATGGACTTTTCTGCCCAGGCTGACTTTGAATGTTGACCCTCAGATCTCAACCCTTCTGAGTAGCTCAGATTATAGGTATGAGCCACCAACACCCAGTTAACCTACAGATATTTGTTGGTATAGGTTGAGTTCTTTGGATTTTTCTAGTTACCTAGGCACCCAGAGTCAAGAAGGCAGAGAAAGCGTCAGGGCCTCTGTTGGGTTCTTGGCTGAGAGTGCTTGGTTCATCTGCTCCAGTCACTGGCAGAGGGGACAGGAAGAGAGAACTTGCTCTTCAGAAGAGTTCAGGAGACCAGGGAACTGTGAGCAATCCCCCCTCCTCTGTTACTGAGGAATCTTCCTGACCCTGGGGAAGGGGTAGTCTATCTAGTCTGGGTATAGGAGCTACTGGGAAGTGACAGTTATTTTGTCCATTTTACAGAGATGTGATTCTCTCTTGTGTTTTTCTGTCTTTTAGATGTAAGCCCTCAGAAGAGTTTCTTAATGCATGTCGAACATTGAGCCAACATCTGCCAGAAACTGGGACCACCCCCAACCAGCTCTTGGTATTCTCATTTTTCTTGTCCTATAGAGACCTCTGGTAGAGTGACGGTGGCAGGCATAGGAGTGCCCACACTAGCGGAGGAGTCCCCTGGGAATTCTGTCACCACCCCACACACGGCCACCCTAGGTGATGGACTGCACTCAGCAAGGAGAGAGAACAATGTACATGAGAAAGCAGCCAAGGTCGCAGAGGGGCTGTCATTTGTGTAGTTCACTAAGATGATATGTCAAGGTTATTTACCCAGACCAAAGTGGAGTGGTTATTATAAATGATTTCATGCTCGTTGTGGAAAGAGCACTGGATTTGGAGTCTCTTAAGTCCATGTGACCAGGTGGAAGCCCTGGTAGAGCTGTGTGGCTTTGGAAGTCATATACCCTTTCTGGAGTGTTTGCAATCAAACCCAGGGTCTGACAAGTGCTCTACCATTCCACTCAGCCAAATTCCCACCCCCCATTTTTCTTTTCTCTTCTTTTCTTTCTTTTCTGTCCCTCAGCTCTTCAGCTTAAGGCTAGCGGGTCCATCACTTGAGCCACAGCTCCACTTTCAGTTTTCTGGTGGTTATTTGGAGAAAAGAACCTGCCCAGGCTGGCTTTGGACTGTGATCCTCAGATCTTAGCCTCCTGAGTAACTAGGATTACAGGCGTGAGCCACCGGCACCCTTTTCTTTTTTTGGAAATAATCTTAACTATGGAATGCAGGCTGGCCCTGAACTCATGATCATGCTAGCTATGCCTTTCTTCTTCTTTTTTGGTTGTTGTTGTTGGTTGGGGGGCTTGAACTTAGGCCTTGGGCACTGTCTCTTAATTCTTTTTTTTTTTTTTT